TTAATGTGAATAAAAGTTTAATGTACTCTCTTTATGTTAAAGAGAGCCTCTGGGACTATGAACTTGCCCACCCCTCACATTTCCTGAATCTGTAGAGGCTGCTCTTTTGATTCCATCTTATCGCAAGATCATACGTGACTCACATCCGGAGTTATGAGGCTATGAAGAGAGATTGAGATACACACTATCCGCCTCTCACCATATGTAATTGATGGATTCTTGTGTCTGTCTACGTTTTTTTGTGTAGAACTGACCAATGGCCACTCAGGAAATCACTACTGACCCATCACGCCGGAAACCTTTCACTCTCGATTCAGTCCACATCAGAGACACATGTGAAAAATCGAGAAAATGCCCTCAGACTCCAGAGAGCTACCTGATAGTTTAGTTCTGTTATTAGTTCAGAGCTGAACTACTCATTAACTCTGCGCTAACTGCTGCTAATTACACTGCTAATGAATTGCTAAGTGTGTTTATTCATATACAGACGTAACAGGAGAAGTACCTTGGGAAAATTCAGACAAGAAGCTGGAGAACGAGACTTTCAGCTTTGTGACTTTTTAGTGTTTGACAGTTTCTCACTTTATCTTTTTAGTAGCTGTTCGCTAGGCGAGATCGTTGTCTGTGTTGCTATGGTGATTGGCAGTCTGGGCACCAGTCTTCAGGGTTAAAGAGTGAATTAGCAGATACACAACTTCAGCGTTTAAGACCATTGATTGTTAAAACTGTGCTGAACGGTCCTTTTAGGTACAACATTGAAAAAAAAATCTATATATCAGCTGAAACATTTACATTCAGTGGTGTGTGTGGTATGTGGGCTATTATGTGCATGGCAACATGTTACCTACTTCTCCCACACGTTAGCCCTGACACTCAAAAACTAGAGCCAGGTCTCACAGTCTCTCCTGAATTTAATATATTGGGCTTTTAGTGTAAATAAAACAACTGTTTTTCTGTCCCTCTTAATAAATATGTAAGATTTGAAGGTTGTGACTGTGAGAGGTCAAGGTGTTAATCTGCTAATTTATTATTAAGTAATGAAAAATACATACAAATAATTATGCAGTAATAACACATTCTTATACACATGGTTTACACTTAATCTGACAATATTGATTTCATACATTTCAGTTAAGTAGTGAAAACAGTGAGTAAACACGCTGACTGAGTTTGGCTGATGAGTTTGATAAAGGCTGCTGAATTTATTTACATTTTACACTTATTTACATTTAGATAAAGAAATAATGAAGTGTTAGTTCATCAATAGATATTATTATTATTATTATTATTATTAGTTCTAATTGGCTGTAAGTGGTCCTGACAGTGGCATAGGTGCTTTAAAAAAATCGATTATAAGCTTTATTAATTTCATAGTGTAACCCCTCTGTATCAGTCTGAGCGTTGGAGTCATTAAAAGGCACAGATTACAGCTCTCAGCTCCACACACAACACAGTGACCGTTAAAAGAGTGATCATATAGATTAGATACCATAAGAATATGAAATTATCACTTTGTTATGATTTAATATGATCTACTATACATCTGACTAACAAGAACCCATTTTCTGTTATGTTACTGTGGCAACAATAATAGACCACTACATTCAGGATTAATGTTTACTAAACCAACAGAACTACATGGAAAGATATTAATAAAGTAAAAATAATGAAATAAACATACCTGACAAACACAAGAACAAACGGTTGGGGTCATTAAAAGGCACAGACTACAACTCTCAGCTCCTACACAACAAAGTGTAAACCACAGTAAAACAGTCTGTTTACTGTTAAGAGGTGGACGACTCTGTGTCCAGCGGCTTTCTGATCACTCTCTAATATTGACATACTAAACAAATCATAAGAGCTGTTGTTTACAAAACATGATCCACATATATTGACAAGCTATTTCACAAACTTACAAAATGTTTTATAACAATGTTTACACTTTATATTATTTTTAGGAACAGAGCTCGACTTTTTCTCGCCATACACATAACACAGTGACCATGATAGTGATGACATCATAGATAATTTGACCCCAAGAACTCCTTTCATAAGAGATCATTTATTTTAGCTACAATGCTAAATACTTTAAATTAATATTAATGTAGTATTTTCACCAATTCATACACATTAAAACTGCTTCTGCTACAACAGTTCATAGTTCTTATTTGACACTTGTGTCGCTCTGTCTCTGATCTAGTCTGCCCTTTGTGAAGAGCAGCGCCATCTAGTGGACAGAGTAAACAATGGTTTCTAGATTTCTGATCTTGAGAACATAGTAGAGGTCTGAAGCTCTCTCTTTCTGTTTCCCTCTGTCAGGCACTCTCTCTCTCTCTCTCTCTCTCTCTCTCTCTCTCTCTCTGTGTCAGACACAAACACACACACACTATGCAGGTTTTTGTTTTTGTCAGTTGTTTATCAGTGTATGTTCTTGTCATTCTACCCCTTTACTGTGATTCCTGCGTGCAAGTTATTTATATTTTTAAAGACAATAAAAAGAAAGTGGTCAAAATTTTATGTAATATTATCTAATTTTACACTGTTTTCTTTTATAGCATACTGAAATTTTCTAATACATCCAGCAGCACATCTAGCATTTAACACCCAGAAAAGAAAAGAAATAAAAAAAAGAAAAAGCGAACTACATGTAAATGGCTGGAGTGAAATTGAAGAAGCAGATTTCGAAGTAGTAGAAAAATAAACGTCATTTAAATCAGATTTAAATCAGATTTATCTTAGTACATGTAAATGAAAATGGAAATTCACACGGAAATGAATCTGAGCTTGTTATCATCCACCTTTGGTTTATTAAACGGCCAGTAGATCTTAATCTGACGGTGCAGAGCAGCAGATCCTGTAGACATAGTGTTAAAGTTCACATTTCACTAATATTTTGGTTCTTTTTCACCTGTGTGTTGAGCAGTGGGTGTTCTTTGCTGTTCTTTTTGACATGTTTGAACCTGAAACCTCCTGCTGTTGCTGCACCCTGTGAACATTACTGGATATTTTTAAAATGGATGTTTATGTATACATATATGTATGTGAATGTGTGATGTATGTGTGTGAATCTTCATATACCAAAACACTAGATTTCCACTGTCCAAAATGTCATTGAGAAAGAGTTAAGGGGATCTGTGGAAGTCAAGGAAAGATCTAGAATATCAATAGAGCTCACAGATAGAGCTGCATGTGTGCTGGGCAGAGGGACAAGCAACATGAAAGTAAGGTTCTGCTGACACAGGCGTAAAGTAAAATTACAGGTATTTATTGGCAGTAATTCCTCCAGTTATTTACTGTTAACTTACAGTATTAATACTGTATAGTATACATTACAGTATTTTACCGTTGCTTACTGTGCACCCTCATATTTCTAATGTATGACTGATAACTCACAGGTTTTGCTACAACATGCAAAGATTTAGGCAAGCTGTAAGCCAGTTATTAACAAAAAATGCCAGTAACCAAATATATTTATAATATTGCCAGATACCTTTTTTCCCTGAAGCACATAACCCCATTATGCAATATCAAAACATATAAAATGCATTTCATCCCTTCTTTGGGGTGGGAATAGCATGTTAACAGTAACAATGCTAGAAAGAATTCTGGGAAACTCCTCACCATCACCACAATATTTAGACCCTGGCTGCTCAAGTACTGATCACTGTCCCAGTATTGTAAATGACAGCTTGTTACCATATATTCAACATTTTAACTTCTTTGAAGAGGAGCTGAAGTTGTTTAGACAGAATGCACCATTCTTTCCCTCTCCTGTATTTCAAGTATACAGTAGATCACAGCAGTATTCCTACTGTAAATTTACAGTCAGTTCTTCACAGTGTACATAATTCTATAAGCCACTGTCCTTCTTGTCCAACTCCAGTTCCTGACCTCACACATGCTTTTTTTGATTAAATGTGCACAAATTCCCACAGACATGTCCAGCAAGCTCATATAGATGTGACCGCCATCGTAAATGCTAGTAAGAATGATCTCAGTACACAATGGTGAGACGTGTTATGTCTGTGTCAATTGAACTTGGTTAAATGGTTGATTTAGTAGCTAAGGGGGTAATTACATTTTTCACATAGGGCCAAGCAGGGCTGAACAGCGTATTTCCTCCAATAAATGAAATCATCATTTAAAAACAGCATTTTGTGTTTGCTATATAAAGTTTCAGTTTAAGATTTATTTGCAACTTAGTTACAAGTTTAAGTTTAATAAAAACTTTAAACTCAGGTTCACAAATGAGTTTTCCTTTACTGTATTCCATCTGTAGGTCTCTGTTCATAAACATAAACTAGCCAAAACAAATTTACTATAAAATGAAATAGTGTTTGTATAAATTCACAAAAAAAGACACGTCAGTCACGACTGCATATGTGTACATATTTCTATATTGTGGTCTGTTTACACAAAGTTAGGTTAGTTCATCATTTATGTTGAATAGACTCTCCCAGAATTTTATGCTGCTGCACTGACGTTGAACCGTGTGCTTGCACTGGGTCAGTATGTCCAACAGGTCAAAACAAGCTTAAAATAAAGTGCACGTTGTGCCCTGATTGGTGTTCTTTATTCATGCCTCTTTCATTTTGACATGTTATGTTTTTATGCACACATAAACCAAAAGGAACGACAAATTCCACAAAATGTAGAGGAGTAAAAAGTAAGATATTAGAAAGCAGTGAAAGCAAAAAGTGGCCCAAAATGGAAAGAACTGTTTTTGTAAATTTAATCTGTCAGTGCAAGGAATCATATTTATGCTTAATTAACACAGAAGAAATGTTCAGTTAAAGGTTTGGTAACGCTTTCTTTTACAGTCCCCTAAGCTCTCAACTTTGAAAATTCCTGTACATTACAATGTACAATATTGTACAAGAATGTCTGAATTCCTACACCTTGCTGTTTAGTTCTTTTCACATAAGTTCATAGTAATTTATTTAGACTATCCTGATACTTTCCATCTTATTACCTAAAATAACTGCCTAGTACTTTGGAGTTTCTACCTCACACTTACCTGGGTAATACCTAGAACCCGTGAGACATTTCATAGTAATTCTTTTAGACTATCCTGTTACTTACCATCTTATTACTTAAAATAATTACCCAGTTCTTTGGAATTTATACCTTACCCTTAGCTGGGTAATACCTAGAACAATTGAGACATTTCAGTATAATTCATTTAGACTATTCTGGTACTGACCATCTTCTCACCTAAAATAATTACCTAATACTTTGGAGTTTGTACCTCACACTTACCTGGTTAATACCTAGAACTTAGGGGACTGTCAAAGAAAGGGTTACCAAAGGTTTTTCCCAGAACTGTACATTCAAACTCCGAAGAAGACAATCACTGTAAGCAATGCTTATGTAACCAGACTGTGTCCTTTAAAGAAGAAAATTCTCTTTATTTTTTTAACACAATACATGCGCAAATAACCCAGCTGTTCCCAGAAGCCGTAGTGCTCCTGTTAGCTTTGCGCACAAGTGAAAGATAACGCACTGAGAAAAGCAGCATAATAGCAGAGTTTAGAGGAAGAAGATGGAGGAGAGCAGAAAGAGCTGCATGGTGAGGAGACTCATCTTAACATCCCCAGCGCTGTTACACAGATTCCCCTGACAGCAGGTTATTTCCGTGAAATTGGTCCTCAGCACACTCGACAGCAAAAACGGAGTCTTATCACAAAAGCTCTTGCTTGCACATCCTGAAACAGTCATGCTACTGTTACCTAGAACAACTGAGAGAGGGAGAGAGAGAGAGAGGAGAGAGAGAGAGAGAGAGAGAGAGAGAGAGAGAGAGAGAGAGAGACGTACATGAGAAAAAGAGTGAGGGGGTGAAAAACATTATATCTATCTAGATATATATATATATATATATATATGTAGATAGATAGATAGATAGATAGATAGATAAATAGATAGATAGTTATCGTTGTTGTTGGAAGAAAACCTCAATCTCCAAACTGGTAACTTCACAGGAGAAGAAAAAACTACTTGACTTTTAATGTAATTCAAAGGAACCAGAATTTTTTCTAAGTCTTTTTGGGCCATTTCTTGTGGTCCATTCATCATAAAATTTACCCACAATGTAAAGGGCAACAGGCACTTTCAAAATACGCCAAAAACTGAAAAACAACAAATCTATTCATGCTTATGGAGACAAACTTGAATTCTAATGTTTTATTTAATATATAAAAACCCAAGCAAAACTACAACAACAGCGATGTATATAGGGTGCTATGTGCTCTCTTGCAGTACCGTAATGTTAATATAATATCTACTATATTCTAATGTTTACTGCAATAAAATAACATACATGTTAAAGGAGTGTTCTGTGTGTATTTTTCACCTTTTGTGCGGATGCAGCGATCTTGACCTTCGGAACACTTAACCGTTGTTGAGCAGTTCTTGTTACTGTTACTGCATGAATAACACTGTTTCCCGCTGGGAGGCCTGCTCTGGACTGTTGAAGAGGTCATTCAAAAAAGGACAAATCAGGTCTAAAGGGTTAAGATATTTCCAAAGATATTTGTTTACAAACTATTAAAGGTACAATTATTTGACTAAAACTAGAGAAAAACTCTTGGTTCTACCTGTTGGGTTTGGGATGCAGTTGTCAGAATCACAGCACCCGGTGCTGATAGTATAGTTAGTAACTGCTGTGCTCATGTTTCCGCTGACACATTTTTCCTTTGGTGTGCACTGCGCTGAATAACTAATCAAGTCGTCCTCTATAAAAGAATATTCATTTAAGATAGGAATTCATTGAAAGCATGGAGACTGTATATGTATATATAAACATTATTTATCAAATTAGTCTCACGTGTATATAAGGCTGACATGCCACACATGCCCAAACAGTTTTGGGTGCTCTGGCATGGTCCATTCGTCGTTACAGAGCACTGAAGACATGTCAGTGCCAATGCTAGAGGACAGTGAGAATTCAGGAATTCAGTATGACAAAATAAACAGCATGTTGCATCATGTAAATGACAGTTTGATGTAAAAATTCTCTAAATATTCTTGTTAGTAAGGCAAAGACTATAGTTTTGAAAATGTATATCGCTGCTAATGTTAATGTTTGAACACAGTCACAATGTCTACAGCTTCACAGAGCCGTGTGTGGTCAACCAAAGCTGACATGTTTTTGCTGAGATTGTGAAAATGTAAGTGAAAACCTGCAGAAAAGTAGAGTTAGCTATCTCGCTAACAAATAAACAATAGCAAACATTCCTCTAAATATGCTGTAGCACTCAGTGACAACTAGACTCAGACTTCCACATGTGGTCTGTGTGTGTCCAGTTTATTTTGTCACGGTCAAACTGATGAAAACGCCTCCACTTCACATTCTGCTTGTTGTGATGCAGTATGGGAAATGACTGTGGTTCAGCTTAAACAAATGCAGTTATCTCAAATTATAGCAGTAAGACAATTATGTAACTCACACAGGCCTAACTATTATTAAATTAGATTATTCAATGAAATTAATGATTAAAATATTGAAATCATTTTATTGTAATATATCGCTGTTGTCGGAAGAAAACCTCGTGTCTCCATTTTTGTCATTTTTTAAGTCTTTGAGATAATTTGAAAGTGCCTGTTACCCTTTACATCGTGTGTAAATTTTATGAAGAATGGACTAAAAGAAATGACCCAAAATGACTTGGAAAGAAGTCTGGTTCCATTGACTTACATTAAAAGTAAAGTAAGTTTTGTCCTTCTCCTGTAAAGTTACCATTTTGGAGATACAAGGTTTTCTTCCTACAACAGCGATATATTATAAATGTATTGTCTAAACATCTGTAAGTAATATTAAAAGTTTAATACAGTGTATTTAACAATGTTTTTTAAAAAAAAAAAACAAAAAAACTTGAATCCATTGCCTTAGTACACCAAGCACGCGTAGTATAGTTTTACATACCTTCTGACAGAAACACACCAATGAGTACCAGCGTGACCTTCATCTTCATTGTGGTTGGATTTTAAAAACTGAGAGTTAAGCAAAGAGGACACTGGATATATACAGTCTGTTTGGGGGTGTGGCTTCTTCAGAGATGACCAGAGCCTCCATCAGGGTGGGAAGGGTCTTCACACCAGGAGCTCAAACATGGTGGAGCAAAATAATTTAATATATAAGCATAAAACATGTACTCATCTTCAGCGTCTCTCCAAAGTCGACCTCCGTGTGTCCATCCCCAAAGTGTGGGTCTCAGACGCCAACATAGCTCCATCATTCAAGCTCATCATCAATTTGGCTTGTCAGATCACCAGATTCAGCCTTGAAAATAGATAAATAAATAAATAATGAATGGAGCTATGAAACGACTTCACTTTGATGGATGGTGTGAAGGGTTTAATGGTAAAAATACTGAGGCTAGAACAGTTGGGGATTAACATTACTGTTCATCTAAATGGTCTAAAGCTGGCATTTGTGAAATGTTGATGCAAATAGTTGCATGTTGTGAGTTTTCCAGCAGGAGGAAATATGTGTAATTTACATATTTACAATTTATCATCTTTGTATGTTACTTCTGGCTGTCACTGCCATTTATTCTCTATATACATCTCTGTTTTACCTATTTGTCTAGGCTGAAAACTGAAAACTTTGGTCTATGGCATTGCTTTGCAGTTTCACGGCACTGTAATTAAATTCTTCACATAAAGGTAGACATAGGCATCTTTATGTTATATATGATCAATAGAAAACTTAATTCTATTCCGTTATAATTTACATGTAATGTGGAAGAAAGCAAATATGAAAGCACCATGTTCCAAATTATTATGCAGAATTAAGTGTTTGAAAACATTAAATAGGTTATAGTGACATTCATTTCATTTTAAACAGTAAATCTGTCATATTTAAAAAAAAAAAACAAGTAAAATCAAAAATTACATTTACAAATCAAGTTATATGAGGCCTTCTTTGAGATGACTTCAACAATTCTCTCATTAATAACTCACTCATCCATTCAACATATAGCTCCATTATAGTTTCTGCCTGTATTTCATTTGAAGATGCCAGTATTGCCTCGCTGAGCTGCTGTCTCAAGGTATACTGATGTCCACCCTCACAGATCTCCCTTTTAATGATGCTCCACAAATTCTCCATAAGATTGAGGTCAGGGGTTGATGGTGGCCAAACCATGATTTTTTCTCCTTTTATGCCCCGAGCAACCAAGGAGCCAATGGTGGGCATGATTCTTCTTTTAATACCATGGCAGAAAATGGTTGGTAAGGAATTCTACATATCTTGCAGAGGTCATTTTAACACACTCAGGGACCCTAAATGGTCTTCCCATTTCACTTCCTAATATTCCGGCCCCACACTCTTGTTGAAACAGGGTGGCAATTTGCCGACCATCCAGAACTCCATTGCAAACGTTTCGCTTTGTGAGCTTTGCTTGGGGTGGCCAAATTACAGCTTCATGCACAGCTAATAAATCAAGTTAGTAATAAGTTACCCTTTATTAGTCCCACAACGGGGAAATTCACCTCCACAATTAACCCATCAGTACAGTGAACCACCACATACACACTAGTGAACACACACACACAGTAGGGGCAGTGAGTATGTTTGCCCAGAGCGGTGGGCAGCCCTATCCACAGCACCTGGGGAGCAGTTGGGGGTTAGGTGTCTTGCTCAAGGGCACTTCAGTCATGTCCTGTCAGCTCAGCGGCGACCTTCCAGTCACAAGGCTGGTTCCCTAACCTCCCAGTGCCCCAACAAATCTCACAAACCTTTTTTACAGTTTGATGATCTGTCTTCAGTTTGTTTTCATGCCTTTTGCAAGACACTTTTCATCTTCTGAAAGATCTTTCTTTTTGCCCATATTGCATGAGAACTGTGACTTGCTTAATAATGGGGAACAATAAGTTTCCCTTTAATCGAGATCACCAAAGTAATCAACAAACCTGTCTGAGATTGATAGCAGTTCTCTAAAAGGATATCAGAAATAAAACAAACACTTGAAAAAACTGAAACCTAAATGCTCATTATACTGTCTTCTTATGCAGCTTCAGCATTCTGAAATAAAATACTGAACTAAAACAGTTTTTAACAAAATAAAACAAAAAAAAACAAAAACAAAGCTATAGTGAACAAAATAACCAGTAAGAAATGCACCAATAAAGGCAAACTGCTATTATTACAACTAGTTTAATGTAGCAAGTAAGTAAGTCAATACTAACAGTAACTAACTGATGCTTATTTAATGGAACAGAATAGCTGAATGGTAGTGAAGGATTTTAGCTTATTAATAAGAGCAAACAGGGTAAGATTTTTAGCTCATTCTTAAGAACCATCAGGCTAAAAACCTTAAGAGGCAGCAGGCTAAAGCTAGCGGAGGCTTTTAGCTCATTTAAAAGAGCCAACAGAGGTCCAGTGGCCTGCACAGAGCACTGACCTCAACACCAGTGAACACCTTTGAGGTAAACCGGAATACTGATTATAGGCCAGGCCTTTTTTTGTCTAACATGAGCACAAATTCCCTCAGACACTCTCCAAAATCTTATGGAAAGTCTTCCCCGAAGAGTGGAGGTTGTTACAACTGCAAAGGGGGACCAACTCCATATTATGCCTGTGTTTTGGAATTAAGGGTCCACAAGCTCAACCATACAGTGTATTTTCAGAATAATGTGAGTGGATCGTCTTTTATTCTGGTCATATGCTGAGGTCATTTTTACATTCGGAACTGTGTTTTGCTAAGAAATATTAGCCGTATGGAGATGAATGTAAAATGATTTTGAAAGCTGTAAAACGTCAGAATTTTGTACTAAATCATCCAGAGTTCAATTCTAAACAAAATTAGCTTCTATTTGAAAAGTGGTGATTGTGTCTTGAAGCCATAATGTAAAATGTTTGTATATAGATCATAAAAGTATAGAATTTATCATGTAAAATCTAAAATTTGGAATGAAATATTTAAAGATACGTTTTGTTGTGTACTTTATAATATACACCTACACTTTATTGTCTTATTGTGTACGTAAAGATTGTACTGTACAGTTCTAAAACAAACACAACAGGATCTCTAATAATACCATATATGGCTGTTTGAATGTGTGCTCCTAGGCTTTGCGTGTGTCCAGAACTATGAACTGTCCTAACCTGGAAGGACAGGAGTGCTTCATTTACATGTGCACCTTTGCCGTAGAGTCCACTGTGGTTTTTAAGCAGTTTTTTCCTGGTGTGGTTTCACAGTTATTACTGTTCTTCAGTCAAATATTTTCAAATTCCTCAATTACTCATGTAGATTGGATGCACGTTTATTTAAATACGCTCCTCTTCAGTGTAGTACTTTTTCACAACACTGCAGCCTCTCAGAGGGAAATGACACATCACTATCTTCTCCAGCATCTGCTTAATATTTGAATGTGGTATGGAAACTACACTTGTACACATTTGTCCTTTGATCAATATTTGCATGTGTTCCAACGTGGAACGTGGAAAAACATCGGTCTATAGTGCATGTAATTTGTGGTTGGAGAGCAACGAAATACAAACAACATCTTAGTAACTATATTAGACCTATTAGAATGAAATATTATACAAAATTGCTTAGACTCTTGACTGTTTTCTTCTGAAAATAGATGAGTGGTGGAAGGTTATCTTGCTAGTTTTGCCCCAGAATGGGTTTACAACACACGGTTCTATATGGAACTCATGGTTGCAAGTAGAACCATTGCCTTTACTAAAGAATGCTTGAAGAACTGTACTTTAAGTGTGTACTCCAACAGCCAAAGAAGAAGACAGAAAGAGAAAAGCTCTTTAAATAACAGAAGACGGTGGATGGTTGTAAAGGGATAGTTGTACTTTCGGCCTCAATGTTTTTTTGCAGTCTATATTTTCACAAAATTCTCACAAAATGACTCACAAATTGATGACAAATACGAAGAGTTTCATTATCACAACAGTAGATGGAGTACAATGTAACGGTAATAGAAAATATGACAAAAATGCATAAATAAAGGTACTGCTTTAACATTTTTACAAGACTACATTTGTAAAGGGGTTATGAATGGTTTAAAAAGAGTTTGTCAATGGTTATAAGTTAGCTCATAAACACTTTATTAATCAGTAATAAGCAGTTATAACACATTAATATAAGGGCAAAAGTGAGCTGTTATATCTGATGAATACTACCATGTGACAAAGCTGATGAGGAAGACGAAGACACTGATCAGTATACATCAAAATCTGAAGTTTGACCGTATAAATGAATGTGAGTTCGCTATTAGGCTCTTTTTATTTGTGTTGTAATGATTTTAATGTCTTTAAGACCTGATAAATAGCCATTAATGAACTCATTTTAAACCATTCATGAACCGTTTATAAGACTAGTCTTATTTCAAAGGGGTATGAATATGTATGCATAAGCACATTCTTTATTTTCTTGAATTAAAGGATGAAATAAACAAGAAAACTATTGAAACTGCACCTATTCTAAAATGTGAAACATTAGTAGCACTGTCTGCATATATGTCAAAGAGAAGGCAGCTGCAGGTGATGCTAAAGTTCCTTACTTGGTCTTTTAAGCACCATTTTAATGTAATTAGGTATTTTTTGGTCAGTCTCCCTATATTAGGCTGTGTTGATCTTTCTCTATGTACACTTTACACATGCACCCCTGTAACTGTTCAAATACTGGGCATCCTGGTTGTTTTTGTTTTCTTAGGGGATTGGAATTGTGGTGTACTTCCCAGATAGTATGTAAATGTGGGCCACTTCTGGCAAAGATATGGCACTGCCCCCCACTGTGGCCCAAAGTGGCAAAAGTGGCCCAAATTAAAATGCTCATTTGGCCAACATGTCCCAAATCTGGACTACTTCTGGCAAAGACTGCCTTGAGAACTAAGTGGCAATTGTTTATGGTTTAATTAGGGATTAGTGGAATTGGGGGAGAGGTGCAAGAGTATTCTTCTCCTTCTCCTTCTTCTTCTTCTTCTTCTTCTTCTTCTTATAATAACTTCCGCAACTTCCTCCAGCTCATTCCCAGGGATCCCAAGCCACTCCCAGGCCAACTTGGAGATATAATCCCTCCAGTGAATACGAGGCCGACCCCAGGGTCTTGTCCCAGTGGGCCATGCATGGTACACCCCCCACCGGGAGGCATCCAGGTGGCATCCAGATCAGATGCCTGAACCACCTCAACTGGCTTCTCTCAATGCGGAGGAATAGCAGCACTACTCCGAGCTCCTCCCAGATGACCGAGCTCCTCACCCTATCAAGTAGAGTGTAGCCCGCCACCATGCGAAGAAAGCTCAAGTCAAGTCAAGTCAAGAGGCTTTTATTGTCATTCCATCTATGTACAAGTACACAGTGGAGTGAAATTACGTTCCTCCAGGAACAACACGGTGCAACAAGGAACAAAAAGTACAAAGTGTGAATGTGCAGACAGTGTGCAAACAACAAATTAAGCTAGAAACAATACAATAAATACAATAAATTAAACAGACATTAGACACAGTAAACAGACCGGACAGTGCAGCACCGACACAGCACTCATTTCTGAGCATGAGGTAGTGGAATAAGGTGCAGAGGTATTTAACATGCTGTGATCTGCGAGTTTACACAGTCAGATAACATACGTGAGCACAGCAGTTACTGAGGTAGTAAAACAGTGTAAACACAGCATTAGCAGCAATGTTCCAGATAGTGCAAGTAGTGCATCAAAAGAGGGGTGTTGGGGGAGGGGTTAGTTCAGCCCTTGTGAATTTGAAAACCTGATTGCTTGAGGGACAAAGCTGTTGCAGAGTCTGGCAGTGATGGCACGGATGCTCCGGTACCTTCTGCCAGACGGCAGCAGTGAAGAGGGATGTGAGGGATGGATGGGGTCGTCCACAATGCTGGTGGCTTTCCGGATACAACGTGTGGTGTAGATGTCCATGATGGAGGGGAGAGAGACCCCGATGATCTTCTCAGCTGTCCTCACTATGCGCTGTAGGGTCTTGCGGTCAGAGGTGGTGCAATTTCCAAACCAGGCGGTGATGCAGCTGCTCAGGATGCTCTCCACAGCCCCCCTGTAGAACATACGGTCCCCCTGTAGAACATTTCCGCCGCTTGTGTTATTGGCTTATTATTATTATTATTATTATTATTATTATTATTATTAATCAATTAACAATCAATCAAGCAATTACAACTCTGGTAGGAAAGTCTCTAACACTCTTAAAAAAGGGGTTCCACTTAAGTGCCTCTAAAACTATGGAATTACACATTAATAATACATGCAACAACAATGTAACTGCTGGTAAAGTAATCAGTGTTACAGACAGTGGTAACAGAACAGATTTCAGTTAATACATTTGAGTATTTACACATGGTCATCTTGAAAGTTATGGCATATTTTCTCTCATAAAATTACACAGTAAGGTGATAATAATATGTATATGTAACAGGGTGAACTGCTGTTTCTCCAACAACACAGTGCACAGTACCAGACAAATATTTCCATGTATTGAATAAAATAAAATAAATATAAAATATAACAAAATAAAATAAAACATGAATTCCTACCATCACTCACTCACTCACTCACACACACACACACACACACACGCACACCCACACACACACACACACACACACACACAGTTATACCTGTAAACCTTACAATGTGCAAAGTATGAGTCTAAAGTTAAAGTGCTGAGTGCAGCAGCAGTTAAAGGGTGTATAGTGGCAGAGAAAGGGATCAGTGAGGAACAGTCAGATCGGTGGGGTAATTAGGCAGGTAAGTAAGATGCTAGAATAAACACTGGTTTGAGGTGGCAGTTCCAGATGATGGAGTTGAATTTTGATACTAGTTTGTTACTAGTATTTTTTATTTTTTAAGTTCAGTTTAACGCTAGAATATTGTTTTTGTGTAATATTAACTGTTTAAGAGAGTGATGGCTTGTGGGAAGAAGCTCTTTTGTAGCCTGGATGTCTTGATCCTCATCTGGCTGAAGGGCCGGCCTGAGGGAAGGAGCTGGAACAGGTGGTCTCCAGGGTGAGAGGGGTCTGTGGAGATCTTCTCTGCATGCTTCCTGGTTCTGGAGGCATGTAGTTCCAGCAGTGTGGGCAACTTAACTCCAATAGTCCTCTCTGCAGACCTGATGATGCGCTGCAGTCTGTGGAGGTCATGCTTGGACGTGGTGATGACAGACTCTATGATGGCTGTGTAGAACCGCACCATCGGCTCCTGGGGCAGGTTGAACTTCCTCAGCTGATGCAGGAAGTACATCCTATGCTGGGCTATCTTGATGATGGCGCTGATGTTTAAATATGTTTAATGTTTAAAGATGTTTAAATTTCTACAATAGGAGAGTGTTTACACTGCATCTGCACAGGAAAAGCCACCTTTCCCAACATTTAGCTGCAGTAGGTGGTAATCAAGGTTCTGGCTTTAAACCACTGTGTAGTGAGACAGTATTTAGACAGTGAACATATTACTTATACTGCACTGTTAGAAATAAAGGCTCCGTGCAGGTACATTTTTCATTCATCTAGGTAGAAACAATGTAAATGTACCCTTAAAGGTAAGGCAGTGGGTTTAAGGTCCAATTATGTACCTTAAATAAGTTCTTCCGCGGTGAAAAATAGGTATTGGTACCTTTTCATAACTGAACATTTTAAAACAGTACAATAAAATAAAAAGCCTGGAGACGAGACGGGGTGTGGAGCCAATACAACTTAGAAAATATCAATGGATTATGGAACAATTATGTTCCCTGACTAAAGAGACTGAGATGTACCCTTGAGGGTCCCACCCCAGTGACAGTTTCATACCTTTATTTCGGACAGTGTGACCATTTAGTTGTTTAAAAGTTCTGTGTCTCTGTACACAGTGAATTATTGGTCTATTGTGTTTACTTAAGCATTCAATAACCTTTTTTTCTGATCAATTTCTTTGAAAATAATTACAAATATTTCGCGTGTGGAGTGGAGGGGTGTGTGGAGGGGGATCGTTTTTTGGGCCTCCGAATGTTCAGAAATGGTCCAGAGTCTCTGATCTTACCTTCATCAGGAATAGGATCTTCTCCAGGAGGCCCAGGATGACATGGAGGCTACCAATGCAGGGCAGATGACGTTATGTATGAAAGAGTTACAAATACTCACTGAATTAATGTGAATTCCCTCTAAAATATGATGTTCTTTTTATAAAAAGTAACTTGTTTTTGTTTTTGTACGCCACCTATTTTTAGTTCTGGTACTACATTTACGCCATACCAGTGTTATATTTAACACAACCAGAACTACAACACTTTTGGTCTCAGTGTTTGTTTGTGATCTTTAAACTCTGATATCAGATATAAAAAGTGAAGAAACTGATTACTTTCTCATAAAATAAGTAACTGTTCTGTCTCAAGCTGCCTCACCTTCGGGGTGAGCTGTAATAGTAGGTGGGTTACACTGCAACAGTAAGAGAAAACAGCCAAAGCAACAAAAGAAAAGAGTGATCCTTTACTTCATCTACTTTCATTAAATTTTAAGCATGAAACAAACGAAAAAAAATATTGGAATCATTCAACTTATTCTAAATATTTAACACATGACACTGTAAGCGTATGTATAAAATGAGTAAGAGAAAAGGCAGCTGTGGGTGATGTTAAAGTTCCTTACTTTACTTTTTTAAAGTGAATTAACAGTAATATTGTGAATATTAGCTTTGGTCTATTGTGTCTTTTCTATTAGCTTTGTGCTTTGGTCTATTGTTCTTTGATCTCCATGATTTGCACCAAATATCACAATGTATACTTTACAGCAAACCCATTGCTGCCCTTGCCCAATTTCCAGTCCTTTGGGCCCGTTAAGTTCTGACCACAATGGCACAATGGCATGGTGAATTAAGTTTAAACAGAAAAGCAGGACCTTATGTTGGTTGTATTATAGATTGTATCAGCACTGTTGTTTCCAGGAATGTCTCTGATTTGAGCCCCTCTACTTGAGTCTGAATGTGGTCTTATTCACTTCTCTCAACAGCAGAGGGGGCTGTAGAGTCTGAAGTATCTCACACAGTTTAATGTTAATAAACTGGAACTTAGATTAGAAATGAGAGAAATTGGAAATTAGGATTACCACAGTCTTAACACATTTTATTGGGTTTATAACACTTACAGGTGTAGGTTCTTTTATGCAACACATTAGACTAATCATTAGACTGATCACGTAAAGGCCCAGATAAGAAGCACCTGAAGATAAAGTCTGAATATACAGTAAAGATATTAATCAGTAAGCTGGACAGCAGTGGAGATGCAGACATTTAAAATCTCCACTAAAACTGCTGTATTTGTTTCAGTACTTCCTGAAAAGGGCTTGAGATAGTTCAGAGGAAGTTCAGAGGAAGAGGATGGAGGTCAGCAGAGACCCCAGCATGATGAGGAGACCCAGATTAATACTGATAGCAGTGTTACACAGGTTCCCCTCACAGCACTTAATATCCGCAGTGATGTTGAATTGTTGGGTGATGGACACGAACCCATCACAGATGCTCTTGCTTGCACATCCTTGTAAAGATGTCTTATTAACAAATGGAACACCTAAAGGAACTGAGAGAGAGAGAGAGAGAGAGAGAGAGAGAGAGAGAATTCAAAATCAAAATATGTTTCTGACTGACTAGTCAAATGCAATTACAGGAACATAAACATTTGGATTGGAAACACTAGTCTTGGTCTGTAGCTTCTTTCTGCAGGCCAACTAGTGGTTTGGATCATCTTGGATATTTTTAATCAGTATATTAAATAATATAATGTCTTCCTGTAACTGTTAGGTTGAGCTGCTAGAGAGCAATGAGGACTGAAAGGGGAAGAATTAAGAACACCCTGCAGCCCCACCATGAAAGAAAACAATGAAGTATTCAGACCTCAGATATTTATAAGACTTATGATCTATTTCAATCCAAAACATTAATTAACCCCTTTCATCAACTCCTTAATTAACATTCATTAACAACTCTATACCATCATGGATACAGGCTTTTGAACTGTGCACTGATAACAAGCTGAATGGTCTTTAGCCCAGAGGACACAGTGTCCATGATTTCCAAAAAGAATCTCAGGCCCAGAGAAGGTGGCAGCATTTCTGGATCCTGTTTATATCTGGTTTCTTCTTTGTGTTTTAGAGTTTTATCTTGCATTTGTGGATGCAGCGCCAAACTGTCTTTACAGACAGTGGTTTTCAGAAGTGTTTCTGAGCCCATGCAGTGATTTCCACTACAGAATCTCTACAGAATGTCTGTTTTTAATGCAGTGCTGTCTGAGGGCCCAAAAATCACAGCCAGCATATACTGGTTTTTGGCTTTGTCCCTTTCATTCAGAGATTTCTCCAGATTCTCTGAATCTTTTAATGTTATTATGTATGATAGATGATGAAAAGTTCTTTGCTATTTTATGTTGAGAAACGTTATTATTGAATTGTTGCACTATTTAATTGTGCAGTCTTTCACAGAGTGGTGAACCCCTCCTCATCTTTACTTCTGAAAGACTTTTATACCCAGTCATTTTACTGAACTGTTGCCAATTAACCACCAGGTGTTATTTTAACATTATACAACTTTACCAGCCTTTTGTTGCCCCCGTTCCAACTTCAAATTCATCAAATTCAAAATGGGCATATATTTTTCAAAAAAACAATAAAATTTCTCAGTTTCAACATTTGATATGTCTTTGAAGCTTTTTCAATGAAATATAGGATTTAAATGATTTGCACTTCATTGCAATTTGTTTTTATGTATCTTTTTTACAGCGTCCCAACTTTTTTGGAAATGAGGTTGTAAAACATACACAAACATATAGCAGTTGCCAGGCAGCTCTCACACCTACATCTTCCCCTCTGCTTTCCTGCCATTCAGTTCCTCCACCTTAAGTCCTCTCCACCCTAACTTTGTTTTCCTACCTGAGGAGAGGTTTCGATTAAATGCAGAGCCCCTTCCTCTTTTCTCCTGTAAGGCCCTTCTTCGGCTGACAGATTTAGACTTATATCAGACATGTTTCACTCAGATTTCTAATGTCAGATGGTTATGCACAATGATTCTAATGTTAGACATAGAAATGTCTAACATAACATCACAGACATTATAATAGAAATATGATATTATAACCCCATTATAAGAGCTTGTAAGCTGTATTTGTCAGCTTTAAGTAAAGAGACATATTTTGAGTAAATGAGACATATTTTAATATCATGAGGCTTCCAGTAGTGCTAATGGAGGTGTTACTCAAGATTAGGCCTAGTTTACATAGAGAGGAGAGAAATATGGTGAAATATGTATCGGTCATTTATTGGTCACTTGGACTTTGAGAACAAGATTAACCTAATTCGAAAAAAAAGGTTCCTGGGGCCTTTGAAGACTGAAGGCCCAGCCCCAACAAAGCCCATACTGAGAAATAAAATATTGTAAATGGCATGAGATACATAAACTTATGTCTCCTTTACTTAGAGCTGACAAACATAACTTACAAGCTCATACAGTGGGGCTATAATATCATACGTCTATCAATAACAATCTATACCCTCAATGACGAGTAAATTCTGTGTGTGTTTATAGGTATAAGCAGGTTAGTGAGTCATACTGCACTCTGCACGCTGGGGCTGACTTCTTTGGCATGGACAGTATGACGTGTTATGATCAATACATTTACAGTATTAACAATTCATAATGCATGATAAACATGGCATTCCTTTTTATGAATATTACAAGTCATGTATATAATGTCTTATGAATGCATTAAAACATGTTATGATTGTGTTTAAAGATGCTTATAGACCTGGCGTTCATAGAAAGTGTTACCATTTATTCCATCAATGTTATTGAAGAAGTAAGGCATAATTCTGTCGATTCAATTCACAGTTACAGTAAAAAGGGTATTTTCCTGACCTGATCCATTAAAGCAGCGATCCTCATCTCCCACACACTTCACAGTTTCTGAGCAGTTGGTATTGGTACAACACTTCTTTCCATTGGGAGCCTGGTTCGGTAAAACTTCAAGCAAATAAACAACTAAATTAAACAAGCCAGCAAAAACATTTGTGGTAAGCTGGGTCTAAAGGTATTAGAAACCACTGTGCAATCATTTACTATATTATTTTTAAGCAATGTACAAATTCAAGCAGTACAGCAAATAATAAAATAAACACAAGAAATGAATCAGTGCTAAAAAAATTAAATTAAAAAGAAGACCCATTACACACACACACACACACAAACACACACATATTTTCTAAGCTGCTTATCCTTCTGGGCCACAGAGGGAGCTTGAGCCTATCCCAGCCGTCAAAGGGCGGTAAGGCAGGAAACACCCTGGACAGGTTGCAGGGCCCATTAAATTCATAAAGCTTTAACAAACATTTGAACAAAATGACGTCAGAAGTGACCCCCTTTTTATGGATTGACAACACCTGGTAGAACTTCAGCTCAGCTGGGAATCAGTTGTGATCAGCCTATTTAAATACATTCATTCAGCAGTTTGAACTTTGACTGTTGTTTGATACGGTGTTTGTTTTTTAGTAAATTCATATGAAGTTTATTGTTTTCATTTCTGGACTTCATTGTAACAGTTTTTGAACAGTGTATGTGAGCATTTGCAAAGTGAGCTTTAGAAGTACACAGTTCTGTTGAAGGCCGAGACGGAGTGAGAAGAGAATTACAGAACTTTGGAACTGAGCACATTCTGTGTTCAGGCAAAGAAAACACTGTTCATGGTTTGGCCCAAAAAGACTGTTACTGTACTAAGTGTGAAGAATTGTGAAAAGGAAAAGTCAGTGTTTAAAAGGCTTCTTAGCAGTTGTAAAAATATGACGCAGCAGAAGATGATCCTTTATGTGGCCGCTGCACAAAAAATGTCACAGGACTGTAACAGAAGAATAGTGTGGTGGGTAACACCTCAGCCCTTCACACTGCAGACTCAGTACCCTGGCCTAGCGAGCACTTTATGCTACACCAGTCATGAGCAAAACTCCTAACACTACCTTCACCTTCCTCTGTGAAATGGTCAAACTGTAAGTCGCTCTGGATAAAGGAGCTTCTGATTGTACCTGGCAGTGCTTTGTCATTGCAGAGATCAGTCTTGCAGCATTTGGAGTTGATGGTCCCTCTCAGAAACCCTGTGTTTATTCCACCTGTGACACAAACGACAGACGGCAGGCAAGTCCTCATATTTTGTTTCTCCTGTACGCCACCTGTAGAGGAACACATGACTTAGTGGACTTCAGTTTTGCATCTGTTAGGAGTTTTAATCTGAGTTAAAAGCCACTCTTACCCAGGCTAAAGGTGGCAGCGATGCTGTTACACTGATAAGGACATTCCTTTCTAGGACAAGTCTGAGCAGACTCCTCTGTGCAGTCATAACATTGCAGTGCTAGTCCTAGAGGACAAAAAGAATTCAGTGTGAAAAATAAAGACCTGACCACCCAGAGAAACGGTCAAAACGATTTACATTAAAATGCAAGTCCTCACCAAAACAACAGTAAAGAGGAATTTCAAAGAAGTCTAAAAATATCTGTATAAATATCTGTGGTTAATGTTTAATGGCATTCAGAGTGGTTTGATGGAAAAATAAGCCGTTCCAGAGAAAACAACTCAGAATTGTTCATAACATTGGTGATAGGAACCAGACGTCTGAACTTTAATGCTTTAAAGCTCCATCACTGAATGTTATCGCTCACATATATGTTGCCTGATGTCTGAAACATTGCTTTACGATAGTCGTGAGATACAGTTTTAGGTTGAAATGTATTTTTGAATCACATTAATGGCAGAGAGGAATATGCAGGACATTGTAAGGCAAATTCGTCCCCAAATGACTCTTTTTTCAGGTGTACCACTGTTTTATCATCATCAAAATTACATGTAAAAACTAAAGACGTGTAGGTTCACTGGTGGGTTTAGATAGTAAATAAAATGGCTATGTTTGTGTTGTAGACATGGTGATCCCTGGTTCTCATCACCACCACTGCAAAGACAATTCAGTAACTTTTTCTACAATTAATTATTTCTCATCAGACCACTCTGAATGAAATCATCTAACAAGTTGACTGAAATGACAGTACTGAGTGTAATATGAGGGTATAAATTTGGTTCTCTGTACCTTTAGTGAAGAACACACTGACGAGCACCAGAACCACTTTCATTTCTACGACTGGATGATCTGAGACGTTGGTGTAAAAACAAGGAAGAACACAATCTCATATAAGACTCTAGAAGGGGGTGGGCTTCCTGGAAACTGGAAACCCACCCCCATCTGATGAACATTTTAGTACAGTGGTTTAATGGCAGGAGAACAATAATAAAACCATATATATATATATATATATTTGTCCATTTTCCATGTATGACAAACAGTCTTCAGTGTGGAGGTTCTGAATACTGACAATCTCACAGCTTTTATTCCATAGACTTCCATTCACAGTTCAAGCCCTACTTGCTCAATGAAAGTGAAGTGATTTTGAGGTTTGGATTATTTAAAATACTGTTTAAACACATTTATTTTAATTTAGATTGTTTTATTTGAACTAAAAATTTGTCAAATCACTTTAGGCTGAATTGACAAACCATTCCTTACAGTGTTTAGTTTACAAGCTGGAAACACAAAAGGTGTTGGTATACATAGTTGGTATTCAGTACTGTACAAAGGTCAGAGACCACCACTTCATTTATTTAATTTCAGAAACAGCCATGATGCACACATTATTTATTTTTCAGAGAAATCTAACAGAAAAATTCAAAGAAACCTGCAGGGATGTTTCAATTTTTCAGTCTCAGAAGTTGGTTTGGATTTTCTGCTTCTCAGGAGTCCTTAACCTCTGACTCTTAAACCAACCACTTTTATGGTTTCCTGTTCAGTTGAGATGCCGTGTACTTAATAAAGTGTCCAAATAGAGTTTGTGCAAGTAGACGCAACTGGTTCAGACCGGTTGTGTGGTTAGGTGGTGTGGAGACCTTCTTTCAGTGTTTTCTGAAGGCTTACTTGACCTACTGAAAGAATGAATGTAGACAAATGTACCATCTTCTGCTATTTAACCAGCAGTAATATAAAATCACTACAGTCATTATGCAGTGGTGTCTGTATTGCTTGTCACAGTGCAGACTATGTTTGTGTTTGTTAGTGTTGTCTATAATATTTGTCAGCAGGTCACTGAGTATATATGAATATAATTGAGTGGAATTATTGCAGATTAGAGAAGAATCACAAGCTGCTCTGGTCTCACACAGCATCTCAACCAAAGAAGAACGGTTTCCTTTCTAGATGATGGGATTAAATGAAGTTCTCCCTTTTCTTTGTCTTCTCCATTTTCTTCTTCTTCTTCTTCTTCTTCTTCTTCTTCTTCTTCTCTTCTTCTTCTTCTTCTTCTCTTTTGTCTCACCTAGACATTTCACACCCGCTGAGTGGTATTACTGAAAAGTGGAAGTGTTTAGGAACCACCGCAACTCAACCACAAAGTGTCAGACCAGGTAAAGTTCCAGAGCTGGTCACTGAGTGCTGAGGTGCATAGTGCATAAAGTTACCAATGCTCTGCTTACTCAGAAACTGCAGAGTTCCAAACCTCCTCTGGCATTAACATCAGCACAAACACTTACTGTACCAAGTGTGAAGAATTGTGTGAAAAAAAAAGTGTGGTGGGTAACACCTCAGCCCTACACACTGCAGACTCAGTTTATGCTACACCAGTCATGAGAAAAACTCCTAACACTACCTTCACCTTCCTCTGTGAAATGGTCAAACTGTAAGTCGCTCTGAATAAAGGAGCATCTGATTGTACCTGGCACTGCTTTGTCATTGCAGAGATCAGTCTTGCAGCATTTGGAGCTGATGGTCGCTCTCAGAAACCCTGCATTTATTCTCCCTGTGACACAAAAGACTGACGGCAGGCAAGTCCTCATACTCTGTTCCACCTGTAGAGGAACACATGACTTAGTGGACATCAGTTTTGCATCTGTTAGGAGTTTTAATCTGAGTTAAAAGCCACTCTTACCCAGGCTAAAGGTGGCAGCGACGCTGTTACACTGATATGAACATTCCATTCTAGGACAAGTCTGAGCAGACTCCTCTGTGCAGTCATAACATTGCAGTGCTAGTCCTGGAGGACAAAAAGAATTCAGTGTGAAAAATAAAGACCTGACCACCCAGAGAAACGGTCAAAACGATTTACATTAAAATGCAAGTCCTCACCAAAACAACAGTAAAGAGGAATTTCAAAGAATTCTAAAAATATCTGTGTAAATATCTGTGGTTAATGGTTGATGGCATTCAGAGTGGTTTGATGTCAAATAAACAACCCGGTATCACGCCCCAGTGTGTAGTACACACGTTGGTCCACTTGGGGCACCGTATCAGTGTCACATTTTTGTGTGCCTGAAGCGTGAAATGCACACGCTACTGCAGTCTGCAGTTTGCTTAAGTAACATTAACGTTAGTTAGCTGTCATTTACATGCTTAAGTTATTACAAAACTTCTTGGTAATGTTTGGAATAATGCTTGGAATATGTTTCTGCCTTGCTGTTTAATCACAATCATTTTACAATGCGTTAACCATATTGTAGACCTTTTTTACAACCATATTGTGACTGTTGTGTCCCTACCACCCATCCCAACGTTTTTCATGTAGTCATAAGAAAACTGCTCTTTTAGAGTTCTGTCTACGTCACTCTGTTACTTTATTTTTGTCTCTCCTGCCACCTATAGAAATATTCATCTTACAAAGCAAAAAAAAAAAAAAGAAAAACACACAGCACTGCTGGTTGTTTCTAGAAGCTCTAATGTCTTCTAATGTACACCAGTTCTTCATTCAAATTCATTTTTTCCACCAGACTGCTGTTAAACTGGCTGCTCGCCAGGACAGTGGAGAAGCAGAGGATGCTATGTTCCTTGCAGACGTATTTTTGGCTCAAGAGAAAGTGAGTATTTTAAATGAGCAGTTCATTTTTACTTCACAAATGGAGTCAACCAAAAAAAAAGAGTATAATACTAAAAGTACATAGCATTTTCTAATGTTGAAGCCTGCATACAGTGTTCAATGTCTGTGTGCAAGGCAAAGCAAGAGAAAGCCAAACGAACATCTGAAGGTAGCAGATTTCAGGTATGGTGGGTGGAGAAAGATGATGAAGGCCGTCCACTGCAAAAAAGAAGCAGAAGTGGTCAGACACGCAAAGGGATTTCTGCTTCAGGTTTGTTGATATGAATTTGTAAATCCGTATGCAGCTGTCTGTTCCCATTTTTGGAAAGCATGAGCTGAGAGGTAGTTCAGCACATGGTTGCATACCATCACCGCACCATCACCACCATTTTGAACTTTGCAGTGCCAATATTGAATCACCTTAGGAAATCCTTTTTAGTCCAGGGAGAGGTTTAGTCTGAGACAACTATCCCTATATTTTTAATGTTTAAGCCGGCAGTATGCTCTAAACAACGATGGACCCAAACAAAATCGAACTGCCAACATGTGGCTGTGTATATATACTTTACAAGAACTGTGCAAGACTGGGCAACGCTAGAGGTTCTGTGCCGTGACCCAAGCTAGCATGTGATATCACATAGACAGGTCGCAGCCAATGGGAGGTCTCAGAACAAACAACATAGTGAGTAGGAGTCCTGTTCAGCTAGCTGCCCACATCGCCCCGTATGAACACAGTCCACCACGTTGTTTTGGCACAAAAATGCAATGTCACTACAAAACATTGTTTTCCTACGAAGGATAACTGCCTGTTTTAATTAAGACTGTAACAGCGATTCATGCGCATAGATATACTAACATGTTTTTTTCCTACTTTTTATATTAATTTTTGATTGTCTACATCTGTTTTGCCATGATTTCAGAAGGTGCCAGTAAGGACCTGAATCATTTTGAGATGACTGAGGAGGTACCTGTACTGTCAGAATCATCAACGTCTCAGTGTTTGATTGGTAAGATGACACTATGACATAGCGATTAAGCAAGTTAACAAAAAGTTTAAAAACAATGTCTTTTTATTTTGCTCTGCTTTTATCCATATTTCACTTTTATTTATTAGAATCACAAAGAATATTTTAATTAATTCTCTGTTTTGGTTATATCCCTCTTTTAGACAGCGAGCTGGAGAAACGTCAGGATGATTTGACGTCGGTTGATGTTGACTATTCAGTAGAACGTCCATCAACGTCCTCTTCGTGGAACGTGAGGCAGGCCGTAGCCAAAGATGAGTGGCAGAAAGCAAGGCCGTACCACTTGGACTGCTTGTTGTCCTCCAGAATGGTTCCAGACAGAAATCGCAGCTGCTGTTTATCTCCTGCAATCCTTCGTTGCAGAGATTGCATGCCAGATGAGTGGATGTGTATGGAATGTGATGTATCCAGATACAAGAAACTTGTACTCCATAATAGGGAGTCCTGCACAGATGGATTTTACAGGCCCATAGCACCAACAGTGTGCTTTGTAAAAGAAAATGGCAAATATACACAGTGCAGTCAAGGTAGGGTGTCCATGATTTTGGATGCTTCATTACTTACTGACTTACTAGCTTCTGTATTTAATTTAATTTAAGGTAATACATTATTTGGATACCCAACTTGAGATGTTTCGTAACTGCATCTTGCAGCTGTAACTTTAACAGCTATTTAGTTGAATAAAATTCAACTTACCTTTTCTTAACTCTCAATTTAGCCCTAACTCAATGCCTAGTCCAGCCCCAATTCTGGAATCAAACTAAACTAGCCCTTAGTCCTGAAATTAAACTAAACTAGCCCTTAGTCCTAATTCTCTTCCTATCACTGTGCAGAATCTATCACAGTTTGAAGACGTAGATAATCTATAAAGCGCTCTTCAAAATAAAGTGGGACCTAATTTATTATTCACAAAGTCAATTTTAAAGATATTTACGTATTTGGTTGGTAGGAAAGAATGGGGCATAACCTAAGTTTGTTTTGGCTAAATATGCAAGCAAGCATGAAATATTTTTACAATTAATTGAGCAACTTAAATATTTCTATAAAATCACTCTTCATATCTCTGATACAAATGAAAACATAAGCTTTGTTTCCAGCAGCTTCAGTCTGTGTGAGGTACAGTTTCTGTATTGTGCATTTAATCCTTTTATTTTTAGTAAACTTATTTTTTTCATCATTGTGTGTTAGATTGTCTGGAGTGGCAGAAATCTGGAGGGTGCTGGCACCACTGCTGGGGAGGAGGTAGAAATGGTGAACAGCTACCTCTCTCGTTGGGCCCTGACAACAAAGTACCAACATGCTTGGCTTAAATAAGCAGATGCTCATGAAGGCCTTGATTAACAGGATTAGGTGTGTTTGATTAGTGTTAGAGTGAACTATGTTGAATGGTGGATCTCCAGGACTGCATCTAAAACCACTTACTACTGTACTGCACACACTATACTAATGAGTGCACTTCTAATGGAGGTCCTTCTGATGGAGATGTAGCACAGGGTTGTGCATCCCTGTAAGTATTATGCTCATCTGTAGCAGTTATCATGATTATTTTTTTTTTTTTTAGATTCCGTAGATACCAGTTGTGATGACAGACATGCCCTTCAGCAGTCAATTGAACAAATGTTTCTCGGTGTTCATCGGAAAAAAGCAAGTCTTTATAATCATACAGGTGTTCTTTGTTTACTTGTTTCTTTTGGTATGTATAGAATTAGAATCTTTTTTATATTACAAGTTTGTTTTTTCTTTGCTAACTCTAGACAGCAACAAGATTCGCCACTTGCGGCGAAAGAAGTTGAGGGAGGAGAAGGTAAAACTCTTTGAAGCGATCAAGTGCTTCAATGAGCATGTGCCAGAGGAGGACCGCATTAAAGTGGAGATGGTGGCGAGCAGACTGTCTGTGGTGGAAGTAGACAGCGGAACAGACAGTCTAATATGGCGGTGGGAACTATGCAGAAGTGGGACAGAACTATTTATATGACACTTGATTGCATGTGTTTGTGTGTAGTTGTGGCTGAATAGTTCATCTAATGGTGACAGTATGATAGTTGTGTATACTCTGCTTGTCTTACAAAGTTTAACGATACTTCAAATCAGTCAATATTTTGTTTTTCTGAGGTGTGATAGGTTGAAATACACACAGAAAAGAACCATTAGTGCCACGTTAAAAATTACTGTCAAATACTGAGTACAAAGGCTTGTTTTTCACAACTTCAACTTAATCCAGTTAACCAACACTAATTATGCTTACTGCGCGTGTTCTCTAATGCTTGCTCTGGTGATTAGCCATATCCACATGCTCATAAAACAGATTGTGACGTGATGCATTTTATCTTGATAACCATGAATATAATTTATTACATGTTTAAAACAAACAGGTGAAGCTTGTGTTGACGGTCAGGTTTTTTTATTTTATTTTATTTATTTACTTTTTTTTTTATTTGTTTGACCAGAAACCCCTAGCATCCTTTCCAGAAACAAGATTTTTGATGCCTACATGTCAAAGATGAGGCTTCAAGAGGAAAAAGTCATCCTAATGCGGGAGATGAGACAGCACTGCTCCTATCTCAGAAGTCAGGCAAGCAGCATTAGGACACTAATATCCGAAATATCTACTGGACAACATTGTGGTAAGGTCCTTTAGTTTCTCTTGGAACCTCATTTATAAAATGCACTAAAATGTTCATTTTAAATATGTTCTTGAAGTTCTCAGCATTTGGACTTTGATTTTATAAAAAAACATTCACAGCAGTACACTGTAATCCCTATACAGTGGCCCAGCCACATCCTGCTACTATGAGATGTCAGCTTTGAAAGATGCATTGATCTCCCCACATTTTCACAACCTGTTCATGTTTTATATCTTAGACATGAATTAAGCATGAATTTTCACATACATTAAAAATGTATACATCAGGCTTTACCATCAGGTATCGCATTTAAATGTACATTAGCCAGTATGATGTATAGCATGGAACTTTGGAAAAACAGCATGTGGACAAATAGCAATAAAAACTAAGACCTTTTTGAAAGGGTTCACAGGACCCATCATTTTGTTTATATATATATATATATAT